CGATGGCAAAGTCCGAAGCGTCACATACGACGCTGAAAGGACGATCAGGGTCTGGCAGTGCCAGTATTGGCGCATGCAGGAGGCTGTCTTTGACCCCGTCAAAAGCCTCCAGATGTTCGGTGTTCCAACACCATTCCGCATCCTTTTTAAGTAGGTTGGATAATGGCCGGGCCGTTTCTGCGTAATTTTCGCTGTACTTGTGCAAGTAGTTAGCGAGACCAAGCCACTTACTCAAGTCCTTTTGGTTCTTTGAAACCGGCTAGTCTACAGTGGTTTTGACCTTAGCGGGATCCGCTCGAAGGCCGCGCTTCCCAATGAGGCACCCTAAAAATAGAATCTCTTCTGCGCCAAAGATGCACTTGCTGCATTGGCGTACAGGTTTTTCATGCGCATGCACTCGAGCACCGCTCTTAAATAGATGATGTGGCTCTCCTCATCCATCCTCCCGAGTAGTAGTACATAGAACATAATTATGTCCTTTTCTAAATATCCTAATTTGGTTCCCAAAATACCCAAACTCAACCAATAATGCCTCATTTCTGATACCCGAAAAAGTATATCACCAGATAAAGAATCAACGCACATTTGTCACCCAAAATAGACAGTCAGTTTTTGAATTCAGTGCCAAAACCCTCCAAAAGCCAAATCATTCTCTCTGATTAGCCAAAATCACCGAAAAAAACAGGTAGCGTAACGCAGATTCGTTCAGCTTATTGTTACTGCTAGCCTCTGACTGCTCTTCTCATTCTATAGTCTTTGATCACTTCGTAAAGCAACTATACGGAGACGATAATTATTTTACTGGCGATTAATATGCTCATGTCTCTATATTTGCTCAGAGATGAGTCATCATGGCTTGGAAATCACTTGGACTAATAAGTTTGTTCTCGTGCAGATCGATTGTTATCTGCTTGAGCTCCTCGATCAACTCTGGGTTGTTGTTCCCAAGTGCGACTTCGCCTCTCAGCTTATTGAATTCAGAGATAAGACGTTTAATCGGGTCGTCTAGCGTTGGTCTGTTTGAGTAATAAAGATGAGTGAGCTTCAACAGTCTGAAGAGCTTGATCTTCAGAGAATCATACAGCTTCTGCTTGATGTTTCCATTAACAAGCTCATTCACTAGCTTTGTCATTGCATCGCTCATCTTGAACTTATTCATTGCAGATGCTCAATTGTAGTTCAAGTCTCCGTCTATGTGTCGCATTGTCTCCAATGAATCGAGGAGAGTGATATATACTACACCAATTTCTTAATTACCATATTTGTTGCCAAAACGCCCCATTTACCCAGTTTCACGTATTAGTTTCAGACCCCATCAAGAGTGTAGCACCAGATAACGAATCAACCTACTCTGATCATCCGAAACGAGACCGGCAGTTTTTTAATCCGCGGACCCAAACCCTCAAAATAGGGTATTGATTTACAGGTTTAAAAGCCACATGATTGCCTCTCATTAGCCAAAAATCACAGAAAAAATGCACGTCACCTAATAGAGATTAGTGCAGCTTTAAGGCATGGGTTTATATTCTGCAAACTTGGTTTGCATCTTGTTTTGGGCACAACCATTGTTGGGACTGGGAACAATGTAACGGATTTTTACGAATAGAAGACCTACTACTATTACAAGCCCCCATCAT